ACCAAGAGGCAGTCATCAGAACACAGCAGGGCAACACTGCATGGTTCAAAATTGGGAAGGTTGGTACACCAGGGATGTGTCCTATATCCTCACCTTTTCAACCTGTATGCAGAGCAGATTATCCGAGAGGCTGGGCTATATGAGGAGAAGCGTGGCATTAGGATTGGCGGAAGATCTATCAACAATCTGCGTTATGAAGATCACACAACCCTGCTCACTGAAACGGAGGAGGACCTCATGAACTTATTGCAGAGGGTCAAGGACTGTAGCCTTTAGTATGGGCTGGGGCTCAATGTCAAGAAGACAAGGATTCTCACCACTGGACCAATCGGTAGCATCAGGATAGATGGCGAAGAGATTAAGATTGTTCACAGCTTCAGTTTGCTCTACTTCACGGTCGACACTCTTGGCACCAGTAGCCAGGAAATAAAAAAAACGTATTGTGATGGGAAAGTCGGCTGTTAGGGACCTCTCTAAAGTACTCAATAGCAACGGTGTCTCTCTGGAGACTAAGGTCCACCTGACACAGGCCATGGTTTTTGCAATCACTTGTTATGCATCAGAGAGCTGGGCAATGACTAGGGAGGACAGAAGAGTTGACGCCTTTGAGCTGTGGTGCTGGAGAAGAGTATTGAATGTACCATGTACTGCTAAGAAAACAAACAGATTCATCCTAGAGAGGGTTAAACCAGGCTACTCCTTGGAAGCAAGGATTCTGGGGCTTCATCTGACATACTTTGGACATGTTGTAAGGAGAGACAGGTCCTTGGAGAGAGACATCATGCTTGGTAGGGTAGAGGGACAGCGCAGGAGGGGAAGGCCCTTTATGAGGTGGATTGATTCAATGACTGGGGTAATCGGGATGGGTGTGTCATAGGCAATGCGATTTGGCACAGGATAGAGCAGGGTTTAGGGCTCTTGTACAAAGGGTCGCTATGAGTCGCAAACGACTTGATGGCACATAAGAACAACAAACACAACAACATGTTTTGTAGACAGCATATTGATGGATTTTGGTTTTTTATCCAATCTGCTATTCTTTTTATCTTCAGCAGTCCATTTAAACCATTCACATTCAGTGTAATTATTGAGAGGCAAGGTTTTATTGCTATCATCTTGTTGGGTTCTTTTTGGTGTTTTTGCTAGTTACTTTGGTCCATCCTGTTTTCTGTGGCACCTCTGTAAGAAGGACATCTCTCAGAGTTTCTTCCAATGCTGGTCTTGTTTTTACAATTCCCTTAGGTTCTGTTTTTCTGGGACTATCTTGATCTCTCCTTCATATTTGATGGACAATTTTGCTAGTTAAAGTATTCGTGGTTGACAGTTGTTTTCTTTGGGTGTTCGATATTTCTGCTGAGAAATTGGCACTTAACCTTATCTGTTCTCCCTTATGTGTTACTCTTTGTTTCTCTCTCGCTGCTTTCAATATTCTTTCCTTATCTTTGGTTCTAGCAAAATTGAGTACGATAGGCCTTGTTGTTTTACTTTTGGCGTCTTTTCCATATTGTGTTCACTCAGCTTCTTGAATATATATTCTCTCATTCTTCATTATGCCTAGAAAGTTTTCTTCCAGTAATTCTTCCACAACTTTTCCAGTGCCTTTACTTGCTTATTCCTCTTCTTGGATTCCAATTATACACATTTTACTCCACTTGATTGTGTCCCACTTTATTCTCAGGCTTTCTTCTTTTCTGCTTTTTTTTTTAAAATTCTGTTGGTTCCCCTCCCCTCCCCAGCAGATCAATGGTGACAATTCTATCTTCTATATCACTGGTTCTATATTCCGTCTCTTCAACTCTGTTCATATGTCTCTCCAACTTGTTAACAGCATCTGACACATTGGTCCTAATATTTTGGGTTGTGGTTTCTTGTTTTTCAGAGTTTTTAATGCCTCATCTGTTTTATCTGCATTGTCTATGATTGGTTTGGTTTTTTTTTTTCTTTTGTACATTACTTTTGCTCTTTGCTTTCAGAGTCCTGTAATTCTTCAAGTTAGTCTTTTACTTATTGAAAATATTCAATCATTGGTCTTGTGAATTTTGTCAGAAAGTTACACCAGACTTTCTGCCTTTAAGAAATCCATTGATACTGTGTCACTTTTTGGAGGTGACATCTTGTTTTGGGTTTGTGTAGGATATGAAGTAGTCTGCTTCTTCTGTAACATTGCTGTGGCAGTTTTTTATGACTGATTTCTCGGCAGGCTCTTGGTCTGAAAACTTTGGCTCAGGAAGTCACTGCTCCAGGGGAGGGCAGGGCAGCTACCTTACCTGAGTTTCCCTCTGAGCTTTTGACTCAAGGGAAGACTTGCTTCAGTTGGGGAGTGATATGGCCTGTGAGTTAGTAGTTTTTTCTGTCAGGCAACTGCTTCAGCTAGGCTAGGCAGGCCCAAGGTGCCCAGCACTCAAGCTCTTGGAGGGGAGAGAAAATGGGATCACCCATGATTTTGGGGTCCCTAGTTCAAAGGGTTAACAACAGGTTGTCCTCCAGATGGTGGAGATTCTAGGTGGCTGGGCTAAGTCCTCCAGGCAGTGAGTTCAGGGTTCCAAGTGATAGGGCCAGGGCCACCAGGTACAGGGGCTGATGCTTCCAGGCACCAGGGCCTTGGTCTAGTGCTCCAGGTAAGAGAGCAGTCCAGGCCACACTAAGAAATTTTTACAGAGGAAGATATTCAAATGGCCAACAGATACATGAAGAAATTTTCCAAATCACTGGCAATAAAAGGTATCTCACTCCAGTAGCAGTGACAAAGTTTAACAGGACAGCAAATAATACATGGTGGAGAGTATGTGGTGAGATAGGAACTCGGTTACACTGTTGGTGGAGTTGTACACTGGTACAACCACTCTAAAGGGCAGTTTGGCACTTCCTCAAAAAGCTCAACATAGAAATTCCATATGACCCAGCTATTCCATTTCTTGGAATATACCCCAAGAAAATGAGAACTGAGGTTTAAATGGAAACTTGTACACCAATCCTAGCAGCATTATTCACCATTGCAAGCACATGGAAACAGCCCAGATGTCCAACCACAAACAAATGGATTGAGAAGTTGTGGTATACTCATACAATAGAATACTATGCAGCAAGCAGGAGCAATGTTTTTGTAAACTACTACCTAACTTGGGAGGGACTGGAGAGCATTATGCTGAGTGCACTAACTCATTCCCATAAGAGCAAATACTGTATAAAACCATTATTGTAGAATGAGTATGAGGATCCAAGGCAGGTGGAGGGTGAAAACAGAGGGGGGAATTTGGGGGGTAGGGTTAGGGTGTTAATCATAGGGTTGCACAATTTGAAGGGTAGGTGAGGTGAGTGAAATTGGAAGGATCTTTTGTGTAAAACTATGTATTCAAACTTTATAAATAAATAGAATAAAATTTTTAAAATATATACATTTTCATGAGTTTAAAAAAAGAACTTTTTAATTAATCTAATTAATCTAATTAATCTACTGGAACAGATCCATGGCTGCTGAGGACACATGCAGCAGCTGCTGAGGACATGTGCAGCCTCAGAAACACTTTTAATCATCCTCAAATAATTTTCTCTTTAGCCTGAGCCCACACCAATCTAGAGATACAGAGAATTGTTTCTACCAGTTTGTGCTCCCAGCATCTGCTGACCTGTACGTAGTTGGATGGATGAAACCACTAGTCAGTTCATCACCTTTCTCTCCAATCTCCTTTTCCTTCACCTTTTATTTCTTTTTAGCTCTTCTTGTTCATGTGGCTTCACATACAGCATGGAGAACTTCCTTTTTTTCCTATTTTGCTATTCTTTTAGCCCAAGAGTATAGTTTTGTGTTGGCATTTTATTATTATTGTTTTTATTTCTAGCTTTAGTGAGAGCCTCCTATTAGGAAAAGCCCACATGCAAAGTATTAATAGCTACACTTAGCCTGTCTGTTACCCATTTCCTCCACCTAATTCCCAATTTTCCCCCCTTTTAATATCTTTTCCTTGTCTATACTGTCTTTAGTGGTAGTGTGTACATGCCACATTTTCTCCTAAATTAAACAATAAAACATGGAAAATATTCATAAGAATTGAAACTATTTTAAACAATTAGCAAAATTCTCTGTTTTCATCTTGTGTTTCAGATTAAGTTGCTTGATAGAGTGGTCATAATTAGTACACTGCCTAAGACTTAGATGAAAGTTTTTAAAAATATTTTTTCATGAGTAATAAAATAGTAACCTTCATCAATGAAAATTTAGTGTGAGATTGCTTTATATCTTGTTTCCAGTGTTACAAAATTAGCATTAATTTTCTTCTTTATGCTAAATTAAATCAACAGAATTTATAGTTAGTATGTAGATTATTTTAATATACCAAGTGAAATTCTATTGTTTTATAGAATAAGTAAAATTTTTAAAGTAAAAAAATAAAAGGATGTAGTTTTATACATATATCTACACTTAAGGCATACAAAAGAATATCAATTTTTATTTTATTAATGTGATATAAACGTAATTGACACAGGTATGTGGCAGAAAAAATGGGTGGTCCTATTATAAAAGAGAAATTACATGAATTCAGCTGGGAACTTCACATAAGCGAACTAAAATTTCAACTGAAATCCAATGTCATACCAGTTGGACATATCAAAAAAGGAATCTTCTATCATCGAGCTTTGCTCTTCAAGGTATTTAACATGTTTTCAATTCACTTGTCAGTAGGTAAAATTCGAAGTGAGCCAGATGCTAACATTTAACTCAAACTCATTTTCATTGAATCAGAACTGACTCATAGCTGACCCTTCAATGAGTTTTCAAGGACAGTAAATCACACAAGAGAATACTGACCATCTTCCTCCCATGGAGCAGCTGGTAGATGGATATGATCCACTTGCCTTTGGGTTGGCAGCACAAGTCCCTATCCACTAGGCCACCAGAGCTCCCTGGCAGGTTTTCAAGAGGCTGTGAACAGCACAGAAGGAGACTGACCATCATTCTCCTGCAGAGTCACTGGTGGATTTAAAGCATCTTTTAGTTAGCAGCACAACTCTCTACAGATAAGGCCATAAGAGTTCCCTTAAGATTTAACTATATAATGTTACTGTTTGTTGTTATGGTACCATCAAGTCAGAACAAATTCAAAGCTGACTCTCCAGCCAAGTTTTCGAGGCAATAAATTGCACAAGAGGATATTGTCCATCTTTATCTTGAGGAGCAACTAGTGGCTTTAAATTGCATGCTTTTGAGGTTGTAGCTCAACTCCTTGTACAAAGCCATCAAAGCCCCTTTCCGTAGATAATACTGACAGAATGTGGAAATTATCATGCAATATCACTCCTGTCACACACAAGCAAAATCCTGCTGAAGATTATCTAGAAATGACTAGAACAGTACATTGACAGGGAACTACCAGAAATAAAAGCTGGGTTTAGAAGAAGCTGTGGCACTAGAGACATTATCGCCAATAACAGATGGGTCTTAACTGAAAGCAAAGAGTAACAGAGGGATATCTATCTGTGTTTCATTGACTATGCAAAGGCATTTGACTGTGCAGATCACAAGAAATCATGGTTAAACTTGAGGAGAATAGGAATCCCAGAACACTTGATTGTGCTTATGCAAAACCTATACTTGGACTAAGAAGCAGTACTCCGAAAAGAGCAGGGAAACACTGTTGTTGTTGTTGCTGTTGTTGTTGTTATGTGCCGTTGAGTCGTTTGCGACTCATAGCGACCCTATGTACAACAGCCCTAAACCGTGCTCTATCCTGTGCCAATCTCATTGCCTCTGACAAACCCATCCCGAGTACCCCAGGATGGGATGTGTCAAGAATGCATATTGTCTCCATACCTTTTCAATTTATGTGCAGAATAGATCATCAGGGAGGCTAGGCTTTATTGAGGAGGAATGTGACATTAGGATTAAAGGAAGACTCATCAATAACCTATATTATGCAGATGACACGATCCTGCTTGCTAAAACTGAGGCAGACATGAAGCACTTGTTGCAGAAGGTCATTGACTATAGTCTTCAATAATATAGACAGACTATAATACTGAATGAAGATTGAAGTCCAACATCAAAAAGACAAAGATTCTCACCACTGGGCCAATTGGCAGCACCATAACAGATGGAGAAAAGATTGAGGTTGCTAACAATTTCAGTTTGCTCGGCTCTACAATGCACACTCTTGGCACCAGCAATCAGGAAATCAAACGATGAATTGCACTGGGAAAGTCTACTGTCAGGGACCTCTCTGGAATACTGAGAAGCAACGATATCAGTCTAGGGACTAAGGTGCACCTAATCCAGGCCATGGACTTGACAATTACTTTTTATACATAAGAGAGCTTGGCAATGACTAAGGATAATAGAAGAATTGATACCTTTGAGTTGTGGTGCCGGGGAAGTCTTGAATATACTATGGACCACCAAGAAAACAAATAGTTCTCTCTTTTGGATAGGGTGAAACCAAATTTCTCCTTGGACACTAGGCTTTTTTTTAAGCTCCATTTCACATACTTTGGACATATGGCCAGGAATGAATGGTCCTTGGAGAAGGATATCATTTGTGGAAGGGTGCAGGGACAGCACATGAGAGGAAGACCCAGGATGAGATGGATTGATACAGTTATGGGGGCAACGGGGGCCTGTCGGAGTCAGTGAGACTAGCGCAAGACAGGGCAGGCTTCAGAGCTATTGTACATAGGGTTGCTATGACTCACAGGCAACTCGATGGTACATAACAACAACAAATAAAATATTTCTGGAGATAATTTAAAAATGGCTAGAAAAAGATATTGAGAGAAATAGCATTAGCTCAAGTTGGGTTTAGAAGAAGCCATGGCACCAGAGATATCACTGTGGACATAGCCAAGTGGATGCTGGCTGAAAGCAGAGAATACCAGAAGAATGTTTATTTGGGTCTTATTGACTACGCAGAGGCATTTGACTGTGTGGATTGTAACAAACTTATGACTAACATTGAGAAGAATGGGAATCTCAGAACACTTAATTGTGCTCATGTGAAATATTGTGTGATTTATAGTGACTGAAATACAGAATAAAACTGCTCTATAGAAGGTAAAAAAGATAGTCAGACAAGAAATGAAGCTAATATTGAAATACACATATGATTAAAGCAGGTATATGCCAGCATATTCTGCTCAAAGTACTTTACACGTATATATTAATTCGCATCATCTTTATAAGTGCCCTGTGAGGTAGGCACTATGATTACTCTCATTTCACAGATAAAGAACAGGAGCACAGAAAGCTACATAATTTACCTGAGGTGACACACTAAGTAAATGACTGAAGCAAAACTCAGGCAGCCTGACATCTGAGCCAGCTCTCATCTATTTTGATGTGGCGTTAAGATTTCCCAGATTATTTTAAAGCTATTTTTTATGTAAGTTTAAAATCAGGAACAACCAGAAAGCAAATGGAAGAGACAACTCCCCAAAACATAAGCAAGCTCTGATGAGACGGCAGTGGGCAACCCAGGAGGAACAATCACTTAGAATGCTGCTTCTCCAGCTCCATCGCACCATCTAAAATGGCTAGAAATAGGTCCCCGCCAATTTCATCCTTCCATGCAATTCCACTGCATCTAACACCCAGAGAAGTGCCTACGAGTACAGAATGCCTAATAAAAACACTAGTGCTGAAATCCCGCCAAACAGCTTTTCTCCAACTACATTATCAATCTTGTGCTGATTCAATACAGTGTAGCTGCCTGCAAAAAGTCCCCCCCCCAGCAGGATCTGCTCAGAAATTTTCAGACTACAGAATCTTAGAGGAGCCAGAGACCTTGTCATCACATTTTATTGGCTGCTATCATAAATCCACACTTGTGGCCCCCTTTGTAAGTATTTATTTGCATGAGGTGTGTATTTCACATTCAAACTCGACAGGTTTACCGCTTGGTCACTTTCCTCACTTCCTATCCACCACCCCTGGTTGATTGCTCCTTTCATTCACAGGCTCTAGCAGACAGAACTGCTGTTGGCTCATCTCTAGTCCGTGGGCAATATGGCAGAGCTTGGAATGAAGTGAAGCTGATAGACAAACCTCGTAAGGGAGTGATTTGGCGTCTGCCCCCTGAGAAATACATTGTTGATCTCATGTTCTGTCCAGGTGAGCTGATAAAATTAAAAAGCAAAGAAGGAGATCTTTACAGACTTCTTTGAACTGTCAAATGAACACAAGAGGGGTTCAAATATATTTAATATACTTCATGTGAAATTTGCCAATAGATTATATATCTTTGAATAAAATGTTTGTATTATAGAAATCTGTGTAAAAACAAGAAAAACTAAACTTTACTGTGCATCTGACTTCTGGCTTTGGCTAAGTTCACAATCTTCTTTATACCCATATATTAATATTCATAGTCATATTGTCTCTGACACACCTGCCCCCATTACCTCTATCACTGAGTCAATTCATCTCATCCAGGGTTCCCTCCATCCTTCCAAGCATGATGTCCCTGTCTAAGGACTGGTCCCTCCTGACAACATGCCCGAAGTGTGTACAGACAGAGCTTCAAAATCCTTGCCTCCAAGGAGCAGCAAGTTTTCACCCTCTCCAGGACAGACCTGTTTGTTCTCTTATCAGTCCATGGTATGTTCAATACTTTCCTCCAGCACTCCAATTCAAAGGCATTTATTCTTCTTCTATCATCCCTAGTCATTTTCCAACTCTCTAATGCATAGTAAGTAATTACAAAGACCATGGTCTGGATTAAAGACATCATAAGTCTCTGGACCGACACGGTTGCTCTTTAGAACTCTGAAGAAGTCCCTAGCAGCAGATTTTTCCAATGCAATTCATCTTTTGATTTCCTGGTTGCTGGTATGAACAGTGCTGATTGTGGAGCCAAGCAAGCCGAAACAGTTAACAATCTCAATCTCTTCTTGGTCTATCATGATGCTTCCAATTGGCCTGCAAAAATGACATTTTCTTGCAATGGTGAATAGTATTGCTATGAGCATTGCTGTACGAGTCTCCATTTGTGTCTCAGTTCTCTTTCTCTTGAGGTATATTCCAAGCAGTGAAATAGCGGGTCATATAGAATTTCTATGTTCAGCATTTTGAAGAGGCACCAAACTGCCTTCCAGACTGGTTGTACCATTCTACAATCCTACCAACAATGTACAGCTTAATGTCTAACGATAATTGAATGGATTGAGAAATTATGGTAAATTCACATGATGGAATACTATGCAGCATACAAGAGCAATGATTTTGTAAATTACTACCTAATTTGGGAGGGACTGGAAAGCATTCTGCTAAATGAACTAACTCAATCTCATAAGGACAAATACTGTATAAGACTATTTTTGTAGAACAAGTATACGAATCCAAGGGAGAGGGAGCAGAGAGCTGAGGATAGGCAGGCAGTGTTAACCACTGGGTCTCACAATTTCATGAGTGGGGTGTGTGTGAAGGAAATGGGAAAGATACATTATAAACAACAAAGTATACAAATTTTGTAAATAAACCAGTATAAAATAAAATTTTAAAAATTACATTAAGAAGTGCACGAAAAGCATACATTCCATAGCATACAGAGAACTCGACTGGCCTAGTGGCAAGAAGCTGCACTGCAATCCCGAGGGCATGTGATTCAAGAACACCAGTCCCTTGATGGGAGAAAGATGGTCAATCTCCTCCAGTGTGTTTAACTGCCTCTGAAAACCCACTAGAGGGTCAGCTATGGGTAGGTTCCTACTCTACGGTACACAACAACACAGCATACACAATTTTGCAGCAGCAGTAAAAACAAAAAAATGTGAGCACAGATACTTAGGTAAATATGGATGCATATGTATCTATTAGAAAGGGATTTGTGAGTAAACTAATGTGTACATATAGATATATCTATGGATTAATCTACTCATTTGTGTTTGCTACTTACGTATCCACATATATAACATCACACAAAGCAGAGGCATAGAGGTTCCTACACATATGCAAACAATTCATGGGATTGGTTTACTGGGTTAAAAAGTCTTGGGGGACAGAGTAGTCAGTTGGTATACTATGTTGTTGTTGAATGCCATCGAATCGAGGTTGATCCATAGCAACTATGAACAAAAGACCTAATGCCTTTACATAGGTATCGTTGTTTCCCCAAGTTAATTAGTTTCCAGAGACATGTAGTTTAGAGAGTGGATGCCACTCCTGTTTCTCAACCTGTTTTACAACTGGGAGCTCCACCAAACACTGTCCACAATGGATTCAGCATCATCGCAAACCCAGGTTACCTCATTTAGCATGTTGACAAAAATGTTTTACAACTTAGTGTGGTGGTAATCAGTATCTGGGATCTTAAAAGCTTGCCAGTGGCCCCTTAAAATATACCTATTGGTTGTATCTTTCACTTAAGAAGGTGATAGTAAAGTTGGAAACAGAAATACCAGTTGACCTAGAAATTCCACTACTGGGAATATGCCTAAAGAAATCAGAGAAACAACTCACACAGATATATGTGCACCCATATATATTGCTGCATTACCCACAACAGTAGAGATGGAAGCAAGCAAGCCAAGTACCTATCAATAAACAAATGGATAGAAAATCAATGGTACATTCACACAATGGAATATTATGCTGCACTGAAAACAATGATATAGTAAAATATTGGGAATTGATATAGTAAAATACATAGGAGAGCCTGGAGGACATTATGCTAACTAAAATATCTCAGTCACAAAAAGACAACTACTGCTATTATAATACTAACACTATTATAATAAAATAGGACAGAGAGTAGGGTTGGGGAGGGTACAGAGAAAGAGTGGATAGATAATGAACACTGCATTAGAACATTTGATGAGGAGAATAACTGTCCAAATAAACACATGAATATGCATTATATGTATGAGAAAAGTCAGGAACAAAGCATGCATTGTAGGGTGGGCTGGGCAAGAGGGGGAGAAAATGTGCAACAATGAATTAGAAATGTACTCAAAGATGGGGGGAAAAATATCTCTACTCATATGGGACAAAAACAGAATGAAAGACCTCAAAGGCCAAAGAGGAAAATCCACATGAATCCGTTTCTTCTAATCTGAGACCAACTAAGCTGGACAGTGTCCAGCTGCCACTACTGACCATCCTGACCAGGGACATAATAGAAGGTCCTGGACAGAAAAATGTAGAATAAAATCTAAATTCCTAAAAAGAAAAGCCAGATTTGCTAAATTAATACAGACTAGAGAAACCCCTAAGACCACCACCCTAAACCACCATCGGAATGTGAAATTGAAACTATTTTTGCAGCTCATCTTTCAGCCAAATAATAGATTAACACAGAAGATATGTAATTATGAATAATATTCCCCCTTACATAACTATTATAAGACCAAGTGGTTAACATTTACACAAACTCAAAGAAAGGAAGGAGAAAAAATTTAGAATGTTCATATATTATTGGAACAAGTTGGTATTGTTATCAGTAGCATAGAGCAAATTGTTAAAGGGGAATCAAATCTGCTATGCAAATTTTTATATAAAACCTAATCACAAGGTTGCACAATTTGATGGGTGGAAGGAGAAGGTAAAGGAAATTGGAAAGATCTGGTGGGGACTTGAAAAGACCAGGTAACAGTAGGCATAGTCCAATGGTGATTAGTTGTATAAAACACAATGTATGAAATGATTGTGTGAAACATAATATCTATGAAGTAAAATGAGGAGGGAAAAAGAATTATCAAAAATTTTTAAAGGTAAAAAATAAAACACATTTAAAATATTTTTTAAAAAACAAAAACTCATGAGGAATGTATTTCTCAGAAAAATTAACCAATCAAGACCAGAAAGACAGTACTTGTCTCATAACAAGGCTGAGAAAGCAGAAGGGGAAGAAAAGAAGGATTTACACACACAGGGAACTGAGATAAGCACAAGGACCAGTGTGGCACTGAGAAAACAGCAACAAACATTATGAACAAAACATGTATAAATTCTTGAATGAAAAATTAATTTCACTAGTAAATTTTTGCCCAAACTACAATTTTTAAACACTGAACAATAAATTAAACAAAGGCTCAATTACTCTCTCTCCCCTGCTTTCTCTCTCCCTCCCTCACTGATGTCCAGTCAGAACAGACTCACAGCTAACCTTACAGGGGTTTTGGGGGAGGCTGTAAATTGCACAGGAGAAAATTGCCTATCTTTCTCCCCTGAAGCGTCTGACGGATTTGAACCAACAGAGAGGCCCAGCCTTTGGGTTAGCATGTCAACTCTCTGTGGACACTACCAGAGTTCCCCAAAGGCTAGTCCATGCGGGGGAAAAAACCCAACAAACTGTTGTGTCTCAAAATTCTTATTTACTTAAACAAGGATAAAATTCTGATTCCTTCTTAGTAGAGCTCTCAGAAAGATCAGTTCCTAAAACCTAAACTATGAAGAAGAAAGGGAAACAAGTTTCTATGTTGAGTTGCTATGTGAGTGCTATGGTTTCATAGGGTTGTTTGGAAGCCAAAATATGTGTTAGCCTTACAAAAAGGCAGCTCCTTTTTATGATATGCATCATATCGCACAACATCAGAAAATATTAGCTGATGGCCCAACAAGAACCTTCAATCAGCATGATTTGTCCAGCTTTAGTGTTCTAGGCTTGATAGAGGGCTCCTCAAAGATAAACTAATGAATATGCATGAGTGACAATGGAGTGTTTGTGTATTGGGTAAAAACTTTGATTTATATGCCTTGTTCAGTGACATGGGCCTTGTAAGACTGAAAAAACCTTCCCTTGGAGAGATGATCTAACAAACCAGAGTCACTAAAGGCATAATATATTTTATATCAAAAGATTTAAAATGACCAAGGATGACAGAAGAAGAATCTATGCCTTTGAGTTGTAATGCTGGAGAAGAGTTCTGAATGTCTTAACAAATATTTTTTGGAGAAAGTGCAATTAGGATGCTCTACAGAGACAAAGGTAGTGAAGCTTCATCTCACATACATCAGGGATATTGTTAGGAGAGGTCAGTCATTGGAAAAGGACATCATGCTTGGAAAGGTCAGTGCAAAAGGAAAAGACCTTCAACAAGATGGACTGACGCTATGACTCTTAACAGTGGGCTCAAATGTGTCAGAGATGGTGTGGATGGCACAGAACAGGGTTCATATCTATTGTTCATAGGGTCTCTATGAGTCATAGCTGGCCAACAGAATATAT